CTGAACTGAATAAAGTTTTGTTCATTTATAGGTTCACACTTTGTTATACCATGGTATATTTGTAATACTGTACATAAATGGCTTCTTTAACTAAAAGAACACACCTTTCCGTCTCAGCAATATATTCTGAATAATTTCCATTAATCTGTTCTGCACAGCTTCTGTACTCACAAGCTCAGTTACACTGCAAGAATACTGCATCTGTCATACTTTCAAGCTTTGGAGAGAACCATTTAAGTTATCACAAGCACTTTGCACTGTTTTTTAGACAGAATTTACACAGTCATCTGAAATCACAATAATCCTAAGATGACTGTGCACTATAAATTAGCCAATAAAAGATATTTGGGTAAATATTGAACAAATAGAATAGTTCTAATAGCAGATTATCTTCTTCTTACTGGGGAAAAAAGTCCCAAACCCAAACTGCATAATTTAAACTATGGAAATCACTCACTTACTTAGCCAGAAGGAAAAGGGAATCTCCAGACGTTGAAATTAAATAAATAGCCATGTAAAGTAAAAATGTCAACATAAAAATATAGAAAACAAAAAGATAAAAATATCTATGTTTATATTTCAATAAAAGAAAATGCATTAAAGAAGAATGTAGTAAATAAAACAGTGGGCACAAGAACATGTAAAATTGTTCAATCCCCACAGAGCTGAAAGAAGCATCCCTTTCTCTGAAGAACTACTCCTATCAGGAGGGTGTTTCATGGAGGAGAAAGAGGCAATTGAAGCTAGGAAATGATGGATAGCAATGACCTTTCTATCTGTAAAACATGGGCATATTTTAGGTATTTAATCTTGAGAATTGGATTATTATTAATCAATTATTCATGACAATTTGAATCTATGGTAGATGTTTTTTGTTTTCTTAAATATCACATAGCTAAGGTCCTGCTTGAGAACTGGAAAGGAGATTAAATCCTCGCAAGCAAATAGCGTTCAAGACTGGCATTTTCTTCCCTCCTAAACATTCCTTCCCCTAAGTAACAGCACACATTGACGATAACCTAGTACCCTCTGTAAAAATTCTACCTAAATATCCTTAAATCCACCTTTATAGCCTTTTTTTTTCAAGAGGGAAAAAAAAAACCCAAACCAACCCACCCTTTCCCAAAGAACAAAGCAGGGCATTGTGGTAGTGTGGAGCAGCAAAATCCCCTATGGCTTCGTTCTTATAGCCACAGGTTACCATGCACATATTTTAACATCCACTTTTCCTCACTTGCAAAGGTGAGTGATAACAGAAGCAGAACATCCCTATTACAGGCCACCAGATCATACAATGAAAATAAGCGGAAGGTGTTTGCAGATATTTAAAATGCACTGCTGAAGAAGAAGGAAAAGCAGATGGAGCAATTCTAAGGCTAAGCTCTTATGAAAAGCAGAAGCTCTACAGACTGAAATAAAATGCAAAATACGTGTGCATTTGTGAAGGGAAAGGAATAGGTCTCAACATTGCCTTGAAGAATACGTGAGTTAAAAAATCTAAGGTTATCCCAATTCGGGTGAATCACTATGGAAAAGAGATGCTGCCTTACTCAGGTTCTATAATTGAGGATATGGATAGCAATGGCCTCCTTGTGAAGAGTAAGGCCAATCTAACACACCTAAAACCCCCAAATATTCAGCAGTTCTTCCTGTTCTCAAATACTCCGTTAAAAAATGTACACCTTATTTCTAGTCTAACTAAACTTCCAGACACTATATCTAGTTCTCCCTTTGTCTGATACAGTTGAAGAATTGTCTTACCAAATTTCTGTTCGTTGCGGCATCATGCTTCTTAGGGACTCAGCAAGCCCCTCTTTATCCTCCTTGTTAACACCAAACAGATTAAACTCCAGGAGTTTTTTCACAATAAGGCATGTTTTCAACTACTCCAGTCATTCCTGAGATATTTGTGGTTCTCCCCTGACCCTTCTCCAACTGAACGCATTATTCCAGTAACAGTTATGCAAGTGCATTAACAATTAATACAGAAAGGCAATATAGCCATTTTCTTCTCGTTTAGCTCTTCCCTGTTTATACGTCAGTATACAGTAACCTTTTGACCCTCAAGCTCTCTTCAAAAGCAATTAATTCCTTGGTTCAAGCTTTCCATAAGATTACCCATTTACCCGGGAAATTATGAATGTTTTCATTCAGGGGGAGAAGGGGTGCTCTGAAGGAGGTGGAGAAAGGGCTAATCTGGGAGAAATCTCATCATCCACATATTAAAAAAAAAGGAGGCTCGAGAAAAGCACTGCAAGGGTAGGGTAAGGTAAACTGGAAACGTCTTGCTGTAGAAAACAGGGGCAGCATTTTAGTTTATTGATGTTGCCTGGTAAACTGAGTTCACAAGTGCAAAGGAGAAATCATACATAATGAAGTCATTACAGAGTCTCTAACACTGGACTTCGTTGTTGGTGTGCCAATAAAACTGACTGATTAATCTACTTCCATATAACAGCAGGATAAAACAGCTGCAAACAAGGAAAACCTTGGAAATTAAATGCTGGAAACATTTATAAAGTGAGAACTAGGGCTAACACAAATGGAGTACATATCAACTGTGGGGGTGGAAAACAATCTGCATGGGAAAAAAGAAACCGAACCATTAGGATAGTGGTGAATGGTTGTTAATACCTGAGAAAATTGAAGTATGCCCTGCCTAAAACAATTCAAAGGAACACTTTTAAAATAGACCATAATGATCAAATCACTGTTTGCTTCTAACCTCAAGCTTCTTTCAATATGCAATATTCTGCAAACTTTAGTCTAGTGGGGTAATAGATCTGGTTGAATCACAGCCATTCTGAGCTACAATACTTGTTATTTAAGATGAAATACCTAAGCAATGTTTGTGATAAACAAGATTCTCTTTGCTCCACTTTTTCTATTTTGCAAACTTTAGTTACTAGGTAGATCAAGTTGTAGAACTTCTGCAGACTACAAGAAGTACTTGTAATTGAGCCAAACACTGTTCCTCTTTCTTTTTTTTTTCTTAAGTAGAACAGCTTTTCCTACTTATAGCCAGAGCCCCAAAAAGCAGAAAAAGAAGTTGCTTTAATTTCATCATTTTGGTTCTTCCATCTAGAGGGCTTTAACATTAAAGGTTTAGAAAAATCATGAAATTGAAACAAAGAGAGGATTGCATCACAGCAGCTACTCAAGCATGTATCCTAAAGCCACTGCTACACAAAACTCAATTACTAAGACCAGGAGTTTTAGACACTTCCAGCTTTCACCTAAACTTGCTTTTCACGAAGTCAAAGGTAAAACTACTAGTGACTCCAGGAGGAGCACAGTTATGCACACTGGACCAGTACATTATACCTATGAATTTTATCCTATCTTTCCCCTTTTTCCTGTTACTTTTTAAATTCAGCAGCAAATAACCCTCCCATCACAGAGACATATATCTGCATATAACTGTCAAGTCACTTTACCAGGGACTTGCACAATCTGCTGCAATTTATCTTTTCCTCTCCCACTTCCCAGTGCGGCCACTACAGTACATCCTTGCAGTGAACAGATTCAAGGAAGCACAGCACCACCCTCCTGTCCTTGGTCCTTTCCTCCATAGTTCAGGCATGCTACTAACTGCTACGAAATAAATCTGCTTTCCCACAGGTCTGGGAATAAGGAAGCCTCTAGCAAGGAGGAATGAGACGGAGGACACTCCAAAAGCAGCAGATGCCACAGGCACCTTCTCATATCCTCAACACAGGCACAAAGCAATTGCTTGTCCAGGGACAGTTAGGTCTAAAATACTAATCTTTTATGATTAAGTAAGCTCTCAAGCTATATAGGACAATTCTCCCTCTTTATAGACCTTTAAGAATTTTTTTAAATTCTGAGATAAGTATCTGACATGCTAAATTAGCTTCCTGTAAAGGATCTAGATAACTATTCGATATGTTAAGGGTATTTAAGTATTTACTGGGGATTCATTATTTAGAAAACAGGATTAACTAAGATTTGAAAAGAACTTCAAATACTAACACAAAGTACAGGAGTTGATAGTATAGATAAGATTTAAAAGAAAAAACAAAACAACCAAAAAAAAATTCAGAAATATGAATTTACCCGACTGTGTACAGCGCAGTACGTGTGCAGTGTAAAGACAGACTGACCCTGAAGTGTGTGGTCAGACAACGATCTCGGAGAGCTGGAGCACCACTCAGCATTTAGTCCATTTGCTTTCTGAATACACCCTATAATTAGAGAACAGTTTCTCATGCTGCCCCTCCCTTGAGCAACTAACGTTCAAGCATTCACAGAATTTTAAAGTAGTATTAGCTCTGGCAGTTGACAGAAATATTTTCGCCTCAGGAGGGTGCATTTGTGGATGATCTTTTGGACAGCATATGATCTTCAGTTCAAGGCAGAAAAATGAGAATAATCTTGCATACCTTTTTATGTTTCAAAGCATCCAAGACATACACTAGGAATGTGGACTTGTGAAAACTAATTAAAAAAAAAACAAACACAGTTCCATAGCGCAGGTCTAAAACCTTGTCTTACAGCATTCTTCTAGTTTTGAAAGGAATAACCACTTTAGGATTCAAAACTCTTTATAAACTTACACTTGACTAGTGTTCAGTGCATTTGGACACAACGGCTCTCAACATAGTTTACTCTGCCACTTAAATGTACAACCTGAGAAATTAAGGGTGATGACATCTAGCACAGTTCCATACTGCAGCTCATGTGCCTGCTAAATATACAGATCCCATTACGAAAGATAAGAGAAGAATATAACATTAAGGCTTTAAAATGTAGATGCTACAGAGGTCTGTATTATACTGCGCCACTCAAATCACACCTTTCTTTGAACTCGTTGCTTATGCATGCTGACAGGAGTCATTCTGGGAAATAAAGTCGGTAGACGTGCATTACAGTTGCAACACAATTGCATTTGACACACATTTAACTGAGTCAACAGGCAGTATCCCGTTACACGGCGAAAGCAAGCCTAAATGGCAGCAATTTGTTCTGGAAATACTTACTTCTGATGAGGTCACCATCAGCGCGATTTCCCCAGACAGACTGGTCTTGTATCTCTGGTTGTATACTTTGGTTACTGGAAGGCTGTTTTACGTCTTTATTTCCTGCCGCAGTATTCTCTTGGTCAGTTTTTTCTAAGTCAAAAGAAATTTTAAGATATTAGTTTCTGGGGTATTTTTCCTCTATGTGACCAAAATCCTTGAAAATTAAAAACAAGAGAGTATAAAATATAACTGGTCTTAGCATCTCATGTAGTTTCCGTAGAAATAATTCCTAATAAAGTTGATTTTCTATTTGTTTTCTTGTCTAGATCAAAATAATTCCTCTTTAAGAAAGTATTTTAGTCATATTGTCTTGAATCATGCAAAATAATACTCAGCCGCTTTTGTAACAAGTTATGGTTGAGTTTGTTTATATTTAGTTACCTTCCACAAAATTTTCAGGTAAAAATTTCAATCGCTTTGTCACACAAAAAAATCCATTATTTTTTTTTTTGCCCATGTATGTGTGGCTCTGGCATATAAAAGCCACAAAAATTCCACAAACATCTGTTCTATATTATTTACAATGGAACATATAATTAAAGATAAATATTGTTGAAACTTTATTATAACACAATTACCTATTTTTCATTGAAAAAAATAACCTTTTAAATGCCATTCCTGAATAGAAGTTTAGGCTATGATGAAAGGAAAAATTATTTCTTCTCTCCAATTATATACAAGATGCAGGGAAATTTCCATGGGAAGGTTATTTGAGCGGTTCTTAAGCTTATTTCACAAGATAGATAGCAGAGCTTGTTTTGATGATTTTGCCAGTTAACACGTGCAGACCTGCATTTTCTCAAACGAAGGTGACAGCTTTCATTTTCACCGTCATTAATGTTTTAATAGTCAAATTCACACACAAAAATCTTTCTGTTCTTGATTGCTACAGGTTTTTCCTACTGGCATTCAAGGAAACATTTCCAAATCTGGAATTACTTTGTTCGTTATTCACAGTGACAGATTATCAGTTTATATCACTTATTAGAGAGATCTGTAAAACACTAAATATTTTCAGTCTTGAGTATTTTTTGAGTTTACATACAACATTTAATATTTACCGTAAATCTAAAGAAGCAACTGTTAAGAAGTCTGCTAGTTCTATTTATTTGTTTCAAACAAGAATGTGTTTATAAACCATTTATCACAATGTAACAATACCGTATCCTCCAGTAAAGCAATGATTCCAGTCCTGAGACACAGAAAAATCACTTATTGCTACCGCGACATATTAAAGGTTAGTTTCTTTATGTAACCAACAGCAGTTTGATTTTAAATCCTAACTTTCTGCCTTTGTTATCCACCCTATTAAACTGAGGCGTTGAACATCACTCAAAGTAATATATGCCGTATTGTATGTATAGCAGCATGTGCCTTCAAGCACTGCTGCTCCCCTTCTATTAATTTCCACCTCTGAAATGTCTGACCCAGCTACCTCCGTGGTACTTCTCCCTCAGCCCTCCCTCTCGTCACCATTTCTTCAACAACTTGTCAGTATTTCCTCAAGCCCATCCTGAGATGAACCGTTTCACTGGCATTGGCGTAAAGTTAACTGGGAAAATATCCATTGACTTCAATGGGTTTTGCATCTTGCCGTGATAACTTAATCTCACCTAGCTACTCATCCTAGCCAAAAATTACCCAGATTGTTTCAACTCCTTTGATAGACATTAGATACAAATTATTTCTACCTGATATATATCAGATACAAATCTGACTGTATTGAAGTATGATGATTTTGCCTGTGCAGTTAGGTATTTAGGTGCAAACATGTTTCAAAAGTGTTTGAAAAGTACCCTGAAATAGACTGAGTGAAAATAAGTAGCGTCCTGGAGACAGCTAGTGTGAAAGAAATGCAGGCACTGTACGCTCTGCTTTCCATGACAGTAAGCTTAAATGAGCTATTTTAAGAGATTTTGCTCTGAAATTACTTTACTGCAGTAACACCACCAAGATTACAACAGTATCTACCCTACAGTGGCAGTACAAAACTGGAGAGTTACTGTATACAGTTTTCTTGTATAGCATACAACTTTGCAGAACCCTAATATTTCATGTAGTAGACAATGAACAGTTCTAAGGAAACATTAAAGTTAATATTATGGGGGTCTCAGTGTTCTAGATTACGTTTTTATCTAATAAATTTTAAGGAGTGCAGAATGCAGTCAATCACCATTATTCACAGAGATTTAGTTTTCATTCCTCTGCTTGTTTTCTGTTTAGTAGCTTTTTAACTTCTGGTGGTTTTTTTTTTACTGTATAGGTTGTATGTGTATTTTTCATGTTTACTTTTCTTATTCTAGCTGGATATGGTAAACAATCAGTCAAAAGCATGTAAATGATATTAAGCATTAACAAGAAAGAAGAGGAACTATTAAAAAGTAAAAAAAAAAAACAATGTTGCAATTGAACACCAAACAATTTTGCTAGGAAATTTACAACAATTAACAGTAATTGAGTACCTGTTCTTTGATCTATTGAATTCATATGAAGACTTCCCCATGAAAGTTCATAACAGAAGCCTGCACCAGTGATATTAAACACTTATTTGGTATCTTACGTTGTACTTCAGAACGACCCACCAGAGCAGCTGATCTCCTGGCAGATGCTGCTCTCTGGGTGTGGTGGGCTGACCCCAGGCAGCAGCCAAGGACCACACGGCCGCTCCTTCCCTCCCCAGCCCCCAGCGGGACAGGGGGAAAGAACAGAAAGAGCAAAACTCAGGAAACTCGTGGGTCGAGATATACTTTAATAAGTGAAGGGAAGAGGAATCAAAAAACAAAACAAGTGATGGAAAGGCAATCACTTGCCACCTCCCACCAGCAGACCGATGCCCAAGCCAGTCTCCAAGCGATGGCTACCTCCCCCAAAACCTCCTCCACTTTTTTTTTTAAGCGTGACGTTGTATAGTGTGGAATCAGGTCAACCTGAGCTAGCTGTCTGGGCTGTGTTCCCTCACAACCCCTGGTCCACCCTAAGCCTCCTCGCTGGGGGAGCAGAGTGGGAAAAGAGAAAACCTTAATGCTGTGCAAGTGCTGCTCAGCAACAGCCAAACCACTGGTGTGCCACCAACCTTGTTGTAGTCACAAATCCCAATCACAGCACCACAGAGGCTGCCACAAAGAAAACTCTGTCCCAGCCAGACTTAGTACAATGGGGCTTTAGAAAAAGTAGACCTCTTTATTTAAGGCTGTTTATTTAAGATTTTTTCATATATCACTTCTGATGCATCAGAACACAGAAAATAGACAAACACTGTTTTCCTGATTAATTTATTTGCTTTTTTCTTCAATGTGCATCAGGTCTCAGTTTTAGTACAAAGGAATTTCTTGATTATTCCCTTATAATAAACAGCTGATGATGGCATAATAACTTTTTTGTTGTTTTTGTAATTATAGAGGTGCAACTACAACATACAAACTTACAACCAATCACACATGAAAACAGCCTGAAGAACACTCTTGAGTCTGGGGTTTGTTGAGGACATTATTTTCGTGTTAGGTGCATAAGAAGAGTGATAAGTAGTTTATGAAAGATAACACATTTACAGGTCCAGTAAAAATCCATGCAAAGACCTTAATCTTGTCCGATGTACCGTGCTTGTGGCAGAGGAGTTTTAATAGCCTACAGCTGGCACAAATACTAATGGCTGGATCCAGCCATAGATAGGCACAGCCTTTTTCTACTGCACCTCCAAATAAATTTATAGCACTTCTCTGTTTTAATCAAGCTTAACCTTAAGAATTTTTTATGTGATACTTGCTCAGTATTTTGGCTTTTGCTTCCTCTGGTACACCCTTCCACTCTTATGTGACTAACCTCCAAAACTGACAGCCAAGAAGAAAAAGAGATACTCTTCCTAGCAGATCAAATACTGGAAAGAAAAGACTCATTATGTTCTGAGTCTGCCAGTGTTGAGGTAAAAAAGCCAATCTCTCTTTAAAAGCACGGTAAGTTTCTCCAAGTCATGTCACAAAAGCAACATAGTCTTCTTTACCTACCACAGCAACCTGTGGGGCGTTGTACCTCTCCTAAATGAACCTGGGCTGAAGAGCTTCTAGCCAAAAGCCCCATGGGAGTGACACCCACACAGCACCCATATGATTTGTCCTGAAGGTAAGCATGGGCACAAACTCTACTTGTGCAGAGATTAATGCAAGTTTAAGGTTTAAATAAGAAAGAGATACGACGTGCTGGCAAAGTATAGAACTGACATAGTTAACACCCTAAATCATATCTGTATTACAGACAACTGGTAAGGCACTTAGTGAAAAAATTAAAAATTCTAATCACATCTCAAAATTAATGTTTGATGAAATAAGTGAACAAAGCGAACTCCTAATTTTTTTGCTATTTGCAATTATTAAAGTATATATAAATCACTTTTCTAGTACATACATTCATCCTACCATGCTACCATTCTAGCAATACATGTATTTCATAGAATGAAAACTTGTTTTCACCACTGAGACTACTGCAACTTGTTTAATTTGGAGCATGTGCCTCTGGTTCCATGTATTTCTCTGCATCGTGGCAAATACATTTTACAAGACACCAACAGAATACTGGCAGCAGTGGGAGTCAGCAACAAGGCTACTATTACAATAGCCCTATCAAAAAAAAAAAAATTGACAAATACCCAGCATTGTCAAGAAAGACTTACATACAGTTAAGAAGGGTACACAAGGCAATCTTTCCAGATCCCTTCCAAACCTGTCTTCTATGCTTTTATATAGTTCCTGGGATCTAGGTCAAACTAGTTCCTGAAAAATTCTTAGAACTTCCAATGAAGTATCCTTCTTTTCAGAGCTATATTTATTCTGTGTTTCCCTATGGTGATGTAGTGTATATTGAGTGGACATCCCAGTAATAGGTAAAACTGACAGAAAATACACAAAAAGGTAATGGATGTGCATTTGCAGAACACATCCCATAGAGCTCAAGTCTTTGACAAATAATCACCTTTTCTTCTCCAAGTGCTTGTCCATGTGCACATTCACACTCTAGCTGCCCCTTCATGCCCCACTATGTCTCTGGAGTTTAAACAGAAATGGGTCTCACTGTGTTCACAAGTGGCATCATACCTCAAT